ACTGCACCAAGTCTTCGGGTTAATTGAATTTAGTTGAGTTAAATTTTTACTTGGTATGAAAGTGCGGTGTTGTATTTGGTTTAACTGTTTTTTAACTTTAGGCATTTTGATTTTTTTTTTTTTGAACTATTTGTCATGGAAGTGGGTTCGAAACCCACTCAGGGAAGGGAATATGCACTTTTTTAATGACATTAGTCATTGGGCCATAAGGGCTAAGTACGGCATTTTGATCTCTTTTAATTATAAAAATATATAAAATATTTATTAAAATTAATTATTTATAATAAATTTATGATTTTAAGATATGGTGGTATTAATCAACTACTTAAGTAATTAAATAATTATTTTTTTTATTAAAAATAAAAGATGTTAAATTTAAATTGCATAATATACAGATATGATAAAATAAAAAAAATAATTATTTTTCATTATACAACTAAAATTAAAAAAAAAAACGATGATAATAGAAAAATTACCATGTAAAAAACTCTGAAACAAACCCTTTAAATTATAAATCGTCGAAATGGTAAGTACAGTAAACTACATTACTCTTTTGGGACAACTGGAAACCATTTCTCTACTTTCTTTCTTTCTTTTTTTAATTAAAAAAAAAGGCAACTGTGTCATTTTCACTTTGTTTTTTTTTCTTTTGTTAAGGGGGAGGGGGAAAGGATTTTGCTTGGTTGGTTTCGGCCTTTCCTACTCCCCTATGTCCCAATACATGGGCCAATGGCAAGGGTCATTTTCCTGATGGACCAATGGAATGACCTAAAGGGCTTTGTTTACTGGTAGCCCAATAGAATGGACCTGTTTTAGGGCCTATATATCTGTCTATACCCTGCACCTAGCGTCCGATTCTGGTCTCTTCTAAGTTCGATATCACAACAGCTAATAGGATGGCCACTCAATCCATTTCCTCCCGCTCCCGGCATTCAAATGAAAAAAGAAGAAGAAGAAAGAAGCACTAGAGAGCTTTTTCATTTTCTCTTTCATTTTTCTTTTTCTTCTGATGATCCAAAAGCACTGGAAAGTACTAGAAGCAACCTAAGCAAACCCACATATAATGATAAGTGAATTTATATAATATCAAGCATCTTGGTTGAACGAAAAGAATTGATCAATAAATAAGTATAAAAGAATATATAGACAAGTTATCCTAAATTATTAGATGAATAAATATACAAAATATTATAAACATATTTTTTAATAAAAAGAACCAATTAATATACAAAAAAATGAAAATTAAAATATCATGGCATTAAAAACATCAAAACATCTAATCCCAACCATGAGTTAAGTGGGGTTTAAATTATATCTCACTTATCATATGATTTTGATTAAATGTTCTGACATTTTCAATATTAGATTATCTTAATTTTTTATATCCTCGTATATATGTCACATCAAATTATGAATAAAACTATGTGTATGTAGCTTTTTCCCATAAACAATCTACCCTATCAACCTAATATTAAATATAAGATTTTCTTTTCTTTCAAAAAATCTAAAATTTATGAACATAATTAAATCAATCAATCAATTTGAATCAAATGGATCCCTTGTTTTTGTAAATTTCTTAGATTTTATTTATATACAAATTTGTTTTTTAACATTTTTATTTTAGTTTTCATAAATTTTGTAATTATTGAAAACCAAAACTAAAACAGAAAAAAATGATAATTTGTTTAAAACAAATTTCAACATTAACAACTAAAACTATAAGCTTATTTAGTAATCTTAAAACTATTTTTGCTTCTATTTCTTTACTAATCAATCATAATAATATTTTGACATATATATAAACATGAAACTAACTAAACAAGTTTTTTATTTAAAGTTACAAAATTTATAAAAACCAAAACTATAAACTACAATCATACTAAAATGGAGCATATCTCTAGCAATATCATATGGTTATTGAGCCTACTTGCTTTCCTAGCAATTCCCATGATTCACTTGAAAGTAGTGGCTCTATGTCTGATGACAAAGAAGCTCCTAAAGCAATGCCATAGTGATTGGTTACTTCAGTCTTGGCATACCTAAGCTCTTCATGATTTTTTTGACCATTTGAATTGTTTTGCAAAAGACGAATCTGCTCCAACTCCATAGCAACTTCTATCATTTTTGGCCGCTTTTTACCACTTAAGCTCAAGCATCTATATGCAAGTTTAGCAACCCTTTTTATTCCTTCATGTGCAGAACTATCCCTAACTTGAGCATCAAGAATGTTAAAGAGATTGTTCTCTTCCATGGAAATAATGAAATGAGAGGCCAAACTTCTTCCTTCTTCTGCCCTTGCTAAAGAAATTGGTTTTTCTCCAGTTAAGAGCTCAACAAGGACAACTCCAAAGCTATAAACATCACTCTTTTCTGTAAATTGACTTGACTGGTAATATTCAGGATCTAGGTAACCAAATGTCCCCTGAACATTTGTGGTCAAATGAGTTTGATCAATGGCAATTGATCTTGATGCCCCAAAGTCTGAAACTTTTGCCCTATACTTTTAATCCAGTAGAATATTTGGGGACTTGACATCTCGGTGATAAATGGGAATAGAGGCTGCCAAGTGCAAGTAGGAAAAGGCAGCTGCAACTTCTACAGCAATTGTTAATCGTCGTTCCCAAGATAATAGGAAGTCCTCATTCTCATCATGTATGTACTGGAAAAGCGTCCCATTCGGGATGAATTCATAAACTAGCAAAGGAACTTCAATCTCCAAACAACACCCTAATAACTTAACAATGCTTCTATGGTTAATCTATGTAAGAATGACCACCTCATTAATGAACTCTTTAACTTTCTCTTTATCTAGTACTTTGGACTTTTTAACTGCAACAATACTTCCATCAACCAACATTCCTTTATAAACAGTGACCTGACCTCCTTGACCAAGTATTCTATTGTTGTTGAAATTATCAATTGCCCTTTCCAACTCCTTGATACTAAATATTTTGGTCTTTTCAACATTACCTTCAGTTGAAGACATTTGTTGCTGCAATAATAAGCCTCCATTTTGTTTGAAAAATTGCCTCTGAAGCTTCAAGTTCCTTCTCTTCTTTAACATTTTGTACAACCACCATGCACCAATAAGTAAACAAACTACTCCAAACCCAAGACTGATTCCTATAAATATTAAGGAGAAAGAATGACTTTGTCAAGAAATTCACATTTATATTTAAACTTTACTGCCCTTACAGTATAGTGTTCTAATTTATAAGAACTTAATACTTAAATTAAAAGAAGTTTGAATTCAAAATTTGAGATAGGAGTGGACAAATTTAAGAAATAAGACTATCATTTTGTAGAAATGGTCATAAAATATATGAAAAATTGCAATGGTACGAAATGTTTAGTTTAAATAGTTGCCAGTGCAAAGAAAAACAAAATGAAACAAATAAAAATCTATTTTTAAAGTTGAGGGATCAAAAAAGTGTAAAAAATTATTGAGGGACCAAAAATGTGCAACTCACTAAAATTGAGGGACCAAATTAACATTTAACCAAACATTATAAAGTCGTGTTTCACATTGGTGTCCATGTTTGGTTAAAATACTTGCCATTGCAAAGAAAAATCAAGATGAAATGAAATAAAAATAAATAGAGGTCGGTAGAATAAGACTTACCCAAAATGATAGGCAAGGTTGTTTTGTTTGTTTTGTTTTCGCAAGTGTAGGACCCGATGGTATTCCGGCAAGTTCCGAGGCAAGGATAGTTGTTTGGTTCTTTGCACTCATCAATGTCTAGTGGAGTATTAAATTAATCAGAACATTCCGTCATACCAAAAAAACAAAAAACAAAACAAAACAAATTAGAACATTGCATGTGGATGGATGAAATTCTATTCAGAAAAATATATACTTCGTTCTGCAAATAATTTTAGATAATGTGATTTTATATAGCTAATCGAAATTTGTTTGTCATTATATAAAAGCATTACTTTAAATTTTTAAAATTAACATGCTTTGTTAAATTTTAGTAGACTTGCGATTCTAATTTAGAATTTTTAAATTTAATTATTCACTTTTTAGAATTTTTAATATGTTTATTTTTATTTTATTTTTTTAAAAAAATATAATTATAACATACATTAAATATTTTTTTATCTTATGTTTCATAATAAAAGACAATTCTCTTTTATCTTTTGTCTTATCTTACTCACATATCATATTACTTAAATTCAAGATTTTTTATTTTCAGTGAAAAGAAATTGTTACTGAATTAATTAAATCATTAACATAAAAAATCTTATTTAAGTAGTATTTAATTAAAAATAGATATTAAATTTTATCAAAAAATTATTATATTTCTATTTTATTAAAGAAATACTATACCTATTGAAATTAAATACGAGAGTATATGCATAAAAAAAACATTGGGAAAATTCCTTTAAAATGGGTCTACTCAATGTTTCCTTTAAATTAAGTAAAAGTTAAATTTTAAGTATTGTATAAATGAAAATATTTTAATTAAATCTCTCATAAGTATATTAGGGTTTTTTGAAAGGCCCAAAATGTTTTTTTTTTTTGAAAAATAATTAAAATATTAAATACTTATTAATTTAAATTAAATAAATATTAAAATTAAAAAATAATAAAAAATAAAACTCTCCCTCTCCTTTCTTTTACTATTTGATTAATGATTTTCATTTTAATACTTGAACATAATTTAAAAATTCAGTTTTAATTACTAAAATTTTAATTTTTTATTAATAGTACAATAACCTGAATAATTTTTGAATTTCTCGTAATTAGTATTATAACGTGGGTTAAAATTTAATTATGAGTAGATATAATTTCAAATTAAAGAGATTATAATCTAATAAAATCAAATTAATTTAAGGATTTAATATGGGAATTAATGTCTTTTAATTTGGGATTATTATTTTTCCAAAATAAAAATTAAATAGACATGAAGTCTTTCACTTAACCTTATTTTTCTCCTTAAAATAAATTTGTTTTCACGCAATAAACACCTCATCAAGGATCCAACTGTCTTCTTTTCCTATAATTCAATCCTAAGATTCTAAAGATAAGTATATTTGATCCTCTTGATTTCTTGTTCTTGTGTGTTTCGTTGGGTTTTTATTGTTAAAACTTAATATTGTAATCTTAATTCATATCTCTTATTACAGTTGTTATTAAGATTTCGTCTCATATCTCAAATCAAAATCTTAGATTTTGATGAGCTTTCATGTTTTGTCCCAAGAGTTATTGAATTAACAATTGAGGGGGAAGTTTATTTTTAGATTACGAATACTTATTGCGACACCTAATTTGTTGGGTCATTGTAGTGTACCCATGAATATTAAAGAGGAACAGTAAATGATGTAAATGCAAATATATATATATATATATATTTATAAGCAGCAATTAACGGGGTGAAGGGGCTACTGCATAGCAACACCCACGCGATTGCATGCAAGTACTGTTGTGCAATGATGCGTGGCGACGATGTAATCACTCCGTTGGTTTGAGAATTGTCAGTAGTGTCAACACCCCTAATGCTAGTAACAGATCAGCTGATGACACCTACTGGTTCATTAAAATAATATGAATAACAATAGATGGAGCCGGTGGCACTACAACTACAACATTATATTATGCTTGCAAGTAAAAAAATTTAAAAAAGAGAGAATGAGAGGTAGAGAGAGAAACAAAACTGCAGGAACACGGGTCAGACGATCGGCACGGAGTCGTGAGTTCTCCAGACAACAGGGGTGGTATCAACCTAGACAAACAGAGCTTGGAAAGAGGAGAATTGGACAGAGAAACCATGACAGGGGTGGCTACAATTGGAAGATTTACAATCAAGCAACACCATTATATTTCACAAACTTTCCAGATGATTGGAGCTATGGTGATATGTGGAGAACCTTTGCAAAATATGGGAGAGTTTACGACATCTACAGCCCAACGAAGAAGGACAAGAATGGCAAGCGATTTGGGTTTGTTAGATTTTTGGAGGTGAAGAATGAAGCTGAACTAGAACATCAACTTGGTCAGATCCGGATCGGGGTACAAAAATTAAGGGTGAATAGGCCTAAATACAGCATGAAGAACAATAGCAACAGTATTGTGGAACCCAAAAATACCAGTGAAGGCAACATTAGAAGATCTTATGCCGATGTTGTTAGAAACACAAGGCCTAGCACCTTAAGAATTAAAGAAGATGAAAAGGCAAAGGGAAGATCACTAGAATTCTAGGGTAACCGTGTATGGAGAATGAAGAAAAATGATCAAGACTGGTCTAGGTTAGTATTCAATGTCAATGGCGAAGACTCGACTTGGCTTGAAAGCTGTTATGTGGGAACAGTCCATGCAGTTGAATCAATTCCTACACTTCAAGAAAAGTTCCTCATGGAGGGTTATTTTTCATGCAAGGTTAAACCGATGGGTTTTAAGTTAGTGCTACTGGAAGGAGTAGATAAAGATGAGATCAAAGATTTGGTTAATATTGCTCCAGAATGGCTTGGACAATGGTTCAAAGAAGTTCAACCTTGGTCTCCAACAATGGTGGCAAGCGAGTGATTCGTATGGCTTAAGTGCCAAGGAGTTCCATTGAATGTTTGGGGTCCACAGTTCTTTGCAACAATTGGAACCTTATGGGGGAAGTTTATATCATTAGATGACAGCACTAGTAGAAAACTAAGATTTGATGTGGGAAGAGTTTTAATTTCAACACCAGTTATGGATTTCATCTCAAAAACTCTTATCATAAAAGTTAATGGTTCTCTGTACAACATAAAGGTCATGGAGGAAGAAGCTTCTAACAATTTGTTTTTCATGAGGTCCGACCATGCTCGTTAATCTAACACCAGTCATAGTTCAGATGAGTGGTCTTTATATAGTGACGGTGACGATGTTATTGCGTCCCCCATCTATGTTGGAGTTCAAGCACAGGTACAATGGTCTTCTGAAGATTGTCTAGACGTAGAAGATAACATGGCAACTAGAGATTGGATAGAAGAGGAACAGCCATCGAGATCTCAGGAGTTAGTAGCATCGGGAGGAGTAAGATCATCACGAGGGGTGGAAGGTGGCGGCATGCGTATGGATAATCATGTAACTTGTGACAGAGATCATAATGAGGTGTCAGCAGATTTTGTGCTTGAAAGCAACTTTGAGCAGCTAAATTCAAACGGTGAGGAAAAAGAAGCCGAAGGGATTATGGGTGAAAAAAATTCAAAAAACAATTGTCAACAAGCCTATTCATTAAATGGGCTAATGGATCATGGAGTAGGAAATGGGCTTGTTGGACTTATTGTTGAGCCTAATGTTCAATGGCACGACCCTAGAAGGGAGATAAAGTCTTTGGGCCGGAATGAACTGCCGACTAATGAAATTAGGGAGGAGGCGATGGAAATGATAACCAATAAAGATGATGAAACCAGAGCAGTTGAAGATCGAGCAAGTAGATTTACCAAATCTCTACTGCTTAGGTGGAGAAATTAGCAAATGAAGAGGATTTGGTCTCTTTTTGGAAAGGATTTGAGAGCAAATCAGATATAATTGAAGGGAAGGTTTGTAAAAGATCATCTAAAGCCTCGAAGAGAAGATAGAGAAGAGCTAGATCCTGTTCCTGTATATACAGGAACTCAAAAGCAAATAATGAGGCAAATAAGGGGAAGAAAAAAGGCAAATCTACGACAAAGCAAGGGTCGGAAGCAAACTTCCAACTTTCTTGCCTGGATCGAGACAGGTGCAGGGGAATCAATAACAGACAGCGGAATTGAAAATAGAAACACGTGGCTACAATGAAATTCTGGACAATGCAGTGCTGAGCAAATCTGGCAGTTTGCCAAGCAAATTGGGGTTGCGGACTATGGGAATGAAGTAGAGATTGTGCAGAAAATTAAAGCCATGGAAGCTCGAGACAAAGAGGAGATGCAGAGAGCCAAAGAAATTGAGGCTGGAGGCAGAAGAAAGGTATCTTTTAAGCCCTAATGATATTGTTATCAATGAATGTGAGGGGCCTTGGAGGGGTCGGGAAGAAAAGAGGCGTAAGGGAGCTAGTTATTAAGGAAAAAGTAGAGTTTCTAGCTTTACAAGAAACAAAGATAGAGATAGTAGACCAGAGGGTGTGCGAGAAGGTATTGGGATCAAGAAACTTAGATTGGATTTCTAAGGCATCAAACGGCATGTCTGGGGGTCTAATTTGTCTGTGGAACCCAAAGGTGTTACAGAAATCCCAAGTGATTGAAGGGGACAATTTTATTGGAATTTTTGGATTTTGGGGTGCAGAAAGTATCCCTGTACATATGTTAAATATTTATTCACCCTGTGATATTGTTGAAAAAAGAAAGCTATGGCACGACATTAAAGATTTGATTGAGATTAGGGGTGGAAACTGGTGTTTAATGGGTGATTTCAATTCCATAAAAAATGAAGAAGAGAGAGTTGGAAGAAGTGGCAGCAGATGTGAAATAAGGAACTTTGCAGACTTCATCAGAGAGGCAGGGCTTGTTGATTTATCACTAATTGGGAGAAAATTCACCTGGTACCAAGCAAATGGATCGTCAATGAGTAGACTAGATAGATTTTTGTTGTCTAAAGAATGGTTAAACAACTGGGGAGATCTAAAGCAAAAAGGGCTCAATAGAACAGTGTCAGATCATTGTCCATTATTGCTGAAAAATGAAGTTCAAGACTGGGGGTCAAAACCATTCAGACGCTTTGATGCTTGGCTGGATAGGCCAGGGTTCAAAGAGAAAGTAACTGAGGTATGGAACAAAATAGAAGTAACAGGGTGGATGGGATATAAGGTAAAAGAAAAAATGAAGGCAACAAAGAAGGCTTTAAAGGCATGGAGCACAGACTTTGTTTCTGAGGTCGACCAAAAGATTAAGGAGTGCAAGGAGACTATCACAAAAATAGACATGAAGGGAGAGAACCAATCTTTATCAAATTCTGAAATAGAGGAAAGGAAGAATTGCTTCGTAACATTATGGGAGCAGTAGAAGATTAAGGAAAGCATGTAGCGCCAAAAAGCAACGAAGACATGGCTAAAAGAAGGAGATGCAAATACAAAGTTCTTCCATAGAAGTGTCATGGGTAGAAGAAGAAGGAATGAAATAAATAGCATCGTCATTAACAACCAGCAATGTGAGGAGGTAGTTGAAATTAAAGAACAAGTGACAAATTATTTTGCTAACTTGTTTAAGGAAGAAGATTGGAAAAGGCCGAACCTTGATGGTATTAATTTCAAAAGTGTGACAAGTGAAGATAATTCAATGTTGGTAGCTCCTTTTACTAAGGAGGAGGTAAAGGCAACAATATGGAGTTTTGATTGCTCAAAGGCACCGGGACCGGATGGTTTTAACGTCAAATTTATAAGGGGTATGTGGCAGCTTCTAAAGGATGACATTATGGGCTTTATAAGGGAGTTCCACTGTAATGGTAAATTGGTAAGGGGCTTGAATAGTTCCTTCATTGTGCTGATACAAAAAGTGGAAAAGCCATAGAAGATTGAAGAGTTTCTGCCTATTTCACTTATAGGGGCAGTGTACAAAATTCTAGCTAAGTTACTGGCAAACAGATTAAGCATTGTCTTGGAAAGTATCATCAGAGAAAATCAAATGGCTTTTGTAGGAGGAAGACAACTCATTGATGGTGTCATGATTGCAAATGAAATTATTGATGAAAGTAAATGAAAGAAAAAAGGAAGTTTTGTTTTTAAAGTTGACTTTGAGAAGGCATATGACAAAGTGTGCTAGGATTTTTTGAACTACATGATGCAACGAATGGGTTTTCATGAGGTTTGGAGGCATTGGATCCATGAGTGCCTAGGAACTGCAGATGTCTCAATTTTGGTAAATGGAAGTGCAGCAAGATAGTTTCAAATGAGTAGAGGCTTGAGGCAGGGTGACCCTTTATCTTCATACTTATTCCTAATAGCTGTTGAAGGGCTTAATGGTATCATATCTTTTGCTATGGAAAAGGGGCTTTTCGAAGGCTTTGAGGTGGGTCTAAATGGGATGCAAGTTTCTCATTTACAATTTGCAGATGACACAATTATTTTTGGAAAAGCAACGGAGGAAAATGTGTGGGCAACAAAATGCATCATGAGAATTTTTGAAGTGGTTTCGGGGCTCAAAATCAACTATGGAAAAAGTCAACTAATGGGCGTTTGTGTGGAAGAGGATTGGCAAATGAGAATGGCTTTTATGTTGAATTGTAAACAAGGAGTGATGCCATTCAAGTATCTAGGAGTCCCAATCGGTGGCAACCCGAGGAATGTGATTATGTGGAAACCCCTTATTGAATCTTTTAAAAAGAAGCTATCTGGTTGGAAAGGTAGATATTTATCCTTTGGTGGTCAAATTGTACTCCTTAATTCCGTGCTATCAAGTTTACCTGTGTTCCTCATGACAATTTACATGTTACCCAAAGGAGTAATAAACCTTCTTAATGAAATTAGAAGGCATTTTTTATGGGGAGGGGGTGAAGAGAGGAATAAGATTAGGTGGGTTAAATGGGACACAATTTGCAAAAGTAAGAAGGAAGGAGGTTTGGGAGTGAAAGACGTTAGAACTTTTAATTTGGCTTTAATGGGGAAGTGGTGGGGCAGATTGGCAACTAGTAAGGAGTGTGTTATGGAGGGTTTTGGAGGCAAAATATGGGAACATTGGGCACAATTGGGTGAGCTGGGTTAGTGAGGGAAGGAATATGGGATCTTTATGGTGGAGAGATGTGCGCAACATAAACCAAGTAGGACCAAAGAAAGGTTGGTTAGAGAATGGCTTTAGATTAGTGGTAGGAGAAGGGAAAAAGGTTAGGTTCTGGTGGGATCTATGGGCAGGGGATGAAGTGCTAGCTAACAAATATCCTCGCCTATTTTTGCTCTTAACAGGGAAACATAACAGCATTTCAAAAATGGGCTGCTGGCAAGATGGCAATTGGACATGGGCATTAAGATGGCGACACAAGTTATTTACATGGGAAGAAAATCAGCTGCAGGATTTGATGACAATAATTGAGGCTATTAATTTGCAACAAGGAAAGATTGATGAATGGACTTGGATTTATGACAAAAAAGGATTGTACATAGCCAAATCAGGGTACCTACTGCTAAAACAACACCTTGGGAATGTTGATGGATGGCCTTACAACAAGCTTTGGATACCTTCAATTCCATCAAAGGTCAGTGCCTTTATATGGCAAACACTACAAGACAAGATTGCCACGAAATGGAATTTATTCTAGAGAGGCATTTTGAATAATAATCGACTAAAATGCTGCTTTTGCGATGGGCAAGAAGACACAAATCATCTATTTCTACATTGTAATTTTGCCTCTAAAATCTGGAATTTATGCTTGCAATGGTGGGGAATTGCTTCAGTTACGACTAAGGAAATCTTAGATGCTTTCAAACAACAATTTTCATTATTCAAAGAAAGATCAACTACTGAAGGATGGATAACTCTTTGGTGCTCAGTGTTATGGGCAATATGGCTAGCAAGGAATGAGATGATCTTCTGGAATAGAAAGGCAAATGAGGTCACAATTATGGAATTGGCACAAATAAGGGCTTTTCATTGGATATCAGGTAAATCAAAGCTACCAAGGTTTGATTTCAACAACTGGAAACTAGAGCCAATGCTGAGCATGAGAAAGTAAACAGTTGCTATAATTAGTTGTACTGTGACTTTTATTAGACAGTTAACATGGATGTAATGGGTTGGAGTACCCCTTGTACTCTTAAGCAATAAATTCATTTTTTGCTATGCACAAAAAAAGCATTATACTATGCTTGTGTGGTGCGGTTACATGGGCGTTGTGTGATGGATTTAGTGGTTAACATAATGGTGTCAAGACCCTCAATTCTAGTCAATAAACAGTTGTGTACACCTATGTGATGAAATTCAATACAAACCTTGTAAAACTAAATATTATTAAGTTAAATAAGGATTAAAAATCTTGGATTGTTACTGATTAATATTCAATATAAATTTTAGATTCTTGATTATTTGTGCATTTCAAATTTAAGATCTCCATATTTGAGGTAAGTGAATTTATAGTTTTGTCATTGGTTTTAAAATATAATTTTAAAACAAAATTTTTATCGATTTTAAGATGGTCACAAGATTAAGAACCTGTTTCAGTTTAGTTACTATCACTGAATCTCGTTTTAATTTAAATTAGATTTTAATTGGTTAAGCAAGCTTATTTATAGAAAATTATTAATATATACTGCTTGATCCATGTGATAATGTTGTTTTGAAATAAGCATGTTTATTTAGAATGTACTTGTTAGTCTGTTTTAGTCTCTAATATAGTTATGTTTTAGTTGTACCTGCTAATAAGAGGTTTATAAACATTAACATATGTTGACATATTACTTATGGAACCAATTCATTCACGTTATACTTGTTATCCTGCTTGTGGGATTATACACTAACAATCTTATGCTTGTCAGTGAGAGATTTATAAATGCTGACTAGAACTTATAGAGGAGATGTTTATTTTATTACCCGTACTTATATCGGTTTTCTTAATATTTATTTACACTTGTTAGTCTGTTTAATTTTAAAATTTATAAATAAAAAGGAGAAACCTAATATTCACTTACTAAGATTATATCTCACGCTTTTCCTTATCCACCATTTTAGGTAACAATACTAAAGATGTTGAGGATCAAGGCCGTATAATGGATACTTATTAGAGTTAGTTTGGACTTAATTAAGATTTGATTTAGTTCTTTTGAACTTAATAAAAAGTTAGAGGATTTGATTTGCAATTATTACATAATTTGATTTCAAAGTATTTATTTGAACAGCACCTAGCCCTTTAGTCAAGTGGCTTTTGACCATTTTGAGGTGCATCCCCCTCCTCCTCCTCCCCCCATGGGCGGATTCGAGCCCGCCCCATGACAACATTGTTAAAAAAAAGTATTTATTTGAACATTACTTAAATTTTAATAATAATAGAGGTATTAACAGATTTTATTTATTTTTATTCGATTTGAAAAGTTAACTTGGTTCCAAGCGTGGTACACTTATGGGTTCCACCCTTAAGTATGTCACTCTAAGGTTTGGAGCATGACAAATACAGTTCATGCAATTAATCAAATTTTTTAATCTTTTTAAATAAAAAAATTGATTTTTAGTCATTAACTAAATATTTCAATTAATTAATTTTTTAATTGTATTAATCCAACCAAAAAATAATAATTTTAAATATTAAGTAATTTAAAATTGAACAAAATAGGTTCATCTCCAATAATAAACAATGTAATGGAAAAAATGAAGAGAGAGTTTTAATTGTTAGTTTTTAATTTTATAGCAATTTATTTAATTTATATTAATTAATAAAAAATTAATATTTTAAACTAGTATATCATAATAGGGTATTATAAATTTTATAGAAATTTTTAATATACTTATAATTTATTTTGTTAAAATATTTTTATTTATATAATATTTAAAATTAAATTTTTACTAAATAACAAAGAAAAATATAGTAAAACGTATAAAAGAATTTTCCCAAAAACATTAATTGTAAATATGAAGTACCTTGACATCCAAGTGGGAGGTAGGGATTTCCTGTGAACCCTGGCTTGCACAAACAACGAAATCCACCCCCAGTGTCGGAGTAAGAGCATTCAGTATTAAGGCCGCAACAATCTTGGCAGCCCTGGTGATCTCCGATCACCCATTCAAACACCACAGGCAGCTGCAGTGGAACAGTTTCCCGGTAACCAAGGAAGTCTATTTTCGATATATTGAAGGAATTTTCAACCACAAAAGCATAACTGCAGGGGCTGAATTTCCGGATGCTTCTGTTACCAGAACCACCAACCGAAATGTTCACTTGGTCGAGGTGCTTGGGGATGGAGGTCTGGCAACATCCGAAACCAGAGCAAGAACCGTCGTCCCTGATATCGGTATGGTCATGGCACAAGGACAAGCACGCACTTCCGATCGTTCCTTCTCCGCCGGATATCTTGGCCATCATCTGGCAGCCCAAGCCAATAAACTTGTTGTAGGTGGGGGATATGATGAGCGGCCATCTGTCGAGTCTGATATGCTGCTGGAAGTTACCAAAATAACGACCGCTCTGGTTGTAGCAATAGTAGGCAACAGCGTTAATGAGTCCGGTGATGGTGCCGTCTTGCAGTGATATGTTGTTAATTGTAATGTTGCCATACAAGAGGCTGCTGCTCTGGTTGCATTCAAGCAGGAAGGATGAGTTTTTGGCGCATTCAGGACGGCCAAATCCAAAAGGGAAAGGAACGCTAACGTTTCCACATGTTTGTGGGCAGTTTTCTAAAGAAATATTTGAACTTACCGTAACGGTGGAAGATGGCAATATGACCATCATCACCACCATCCACAACAACAATTTCATCTGCATAATTTTTTACCCTGAATCTTGTGTTTTTGTTTTTTAAATAAGGAGACAGAGTTGTATTATATATAAGCGGCAAGGTGAGACAGGACCGAGAGCACGTTACTTATTGGCTAATGGCAGCATGCTTGTATTGGTTTGTTCGCTTGCTTTATACTTGTAGTCTTGGTCGTCTTCATGAGAAGGCGGAATATATCTTAATAATTTAAATTATTTGAATATATTTAATTAATTTTAATAATTATATAAAATTTAAAATTATTAAATGTATATTAAAAAATATAAGTTTTCATTTATTAAA